GGGTGGGTGGGCGGGCAAATGATGCTTTCACCAGCCTTTTATGATCAGAAGCCCTTTCTCTTTTGTAACTTGTAAGAGAGTAGTGCCATCTGGGCACCAAGGCCATGGGACCTGAGAACCAGGATGCTGTCCTCGGGGAAGCCCATTATCATTCTCCAGAGACCTAGTTTAAAATACAGCTTGGTTTGAATTACTGGTCTGTTGCATCTCTAGGTAGGCACCAGCGCCATGGACAGCCCCCTGCTGAAGTACCCTTTCTCTTTTGTAACTTGTAAGAGAGTAGTGCCATCTGGGCACCAAGGCCATGGGACCTGAGAACCAGGATGCTGTCCTCGGGGAAGCCCATTATCATTCTCCAGAGACCTAGTTTAAAATACAGCTTGGTTTGAATTACTGGTCTGTTGCATCTCTAGGTAGGCACCAGCGCCATGGACAGCCCCCTGCTGAAGTACAGTGCGAAGGAATACTTCTTCAAGGCCGCGCTTTGCCACTTCTGCATCGACATGCTCAATGCCAAGGTTGGTGCAACCCTTTTGTCTTCCTAGCGAGGCGACAAAGTTTTTGTGTCTGGCGTTGTAGGAATCTCATCATTCCAAGATCATTTCGAGCAAGGGTTCTGTTTTATGGGGCTTCTGATCGCCTCTGGATAGGGGCCAGTATTGGTAGGCAAAGCAAGAGAGAGCAGTTCTCTAGCTGCCTTACATCACTAAAATGTTCTCCCTCAAACCTTGTTCTTGGGAAGGTACAGAGGTTTTATCGGGCTGGGTGAAAATAAAACAGAAACATGCGAGAAGCGAAGATGTAACTTCTGGGTCAAAGCCTGAAGCCATGTAGAAAAGTAATAGAATGGTTTGAAGCTGAGTTGACATAATCTCTTTATAATTCTGGCTGTGCTCCAGGATTCGGGTAGGAAGCTGGTGTTTTCTGTAGTGCATTAGTCTCTCTTAGACATGGGTGTTTGAACTGTTGTACTTTTGGCCAGCAACTAACTGCTTCTCTCCCCCCCCCCGCCCCGTTTAAATTAGTTGGCTGTACAGAAATATGAAGAAATGTTTCCGGCTTTTTCAGACTCCAGAGAATGCAAACTGGTTAAAGTGAGTAGCTTTTAAAACAGAGTTTCAAAGTCTTGGCCTCAACGTTAGCTCATAAGCCTGTGTCCTGTTTGTCCGCAACAGGCATGCCTATGATGATTGGAATGGCTTTTTTTTCCAATATAAAGATCTTGGATTATATTATGTAAATGTCATTTCTGTATTTGCATAATAGTTTCTTCAGTGTTCTTAAACAAACAGTAGCCTTGTGGTGTGTAAGAAGCAAAAGACTGGTGAGCAAAGCTGGAGAAACAAGAGGTGGTTGAACAGGGTTTCTGTGGCATTGCCCTGTAGTACAAGGGCCAGATTCCACCAGAAGGTTGAGGGTGCCTAGCTGGCCATCTCTTGCAGCCTGCTTTTTCCTCTTTTAAATCTATAGCTGGCATCAAATCTGTCCCAGATCGTACAATTACATGCAGCCCTCTCCTGATCAAGGATGCTTTTGCAGCGAGCGAAGCAAGCGCGCCAAAAGCTGTAGGAATCTCCTTCTGCCCGAGGTTAAGGGGCACAATCTGTCAAGTTGCTGCATTTGGAAACTGATCCTGAGATTCACTGACCCCCTGTCTTTTTCCTAGAAATTGTTGGATGCTCACGAAGAACAGAACATTGACAGCTACACCGAATCAGTAAGTCTGTCTTCTCTGTCTTTTTCACTGAGTGTTCCATCGGCGTGGCTGTTTTGAGTTCATCGGTCATCTGGTGGTGAAGTTTATAGTTTGTCTTTCATTCTGTCAGATAGCGAGCCTTCTACCTTCTTTGTGCCTTTTCATAAGAGGAGGATGGGTGGTGAGAAAAAATTGTCAGGAACTGACAGAAGAGCTGGACACTAAATTCCACAGATGTTATTTGCGGGGAGAATAGCGAGAGGCACCTGACTGAAAGGGCTTCCCTTGTGTAGAGGGAAAAGAGTTTCCATGAAAATAACAGTGGCAACAGTTGGCTAGCCGTCATTCTCAAGGGGAGCCATGTTAGCTCCTTACCTCTCACTTCCTTTTCATAGGAACTCAATTACTGACCTGTATATCTCCATTAAATCTTTTTTGCTTTCCAAACTAGACTTTTTGTTTACCCCCTAGAAATGTACTTGCTAAATTATTGGATCTAGATGGAGCTATTTTTTCACTGAAGTCAAATATAGGTGATGGGGATGCAACAGCATGATCCAAGACTTTTCCCCTAGTAGTCTTCAAGTTGTGCCATGGATTGCTGATGAATTTCGGAGTGGTCTTTGAGTACTCATTTGTCATAAGTTCGTAATGACTCTTAACTGAGCAGAGCATGCTTTTATTTGGAATTTGTCGCCAGTTCAGCTTGGCTCTTACACCTTTCCAATACTGTTGTTTCACTTGTTTCCAGTTTGCCTCAAGTTGTCACATTCTGAGGGTGTGTAAGAAATTCTCTTAGACGTAGAAGGTAGAGATTCATTAGAGTGAAGGTGATAATTGAAAGCTAATACTGATGAGTAGGGTTCTGCCCGGCAGTGATGGCCTTGGAGATGGGCGACTCTGAGCCAAATAGGCTGCTTCTCCACTTTGGCCTTTTCTTCCATCAGGTGAAGGAATACGACTCCATCTCTCGCCTGGACCAGTGGCTCACCACCATGCTCCTGCGCATCAAGAAGACCATACAGGGGGAAGAGGAGGACCTGCGCTAAGCGCCCAACGCACTGACCCCTCTTGCCGCTCATCTGCAGATCGTTGCACGGATCGGCTCAGGGGGAGGAGGGGGCCTTGGCACCAAGCGACTGGACTCGAATTGGCAAATGGTTTATTACCGACACCCTTTCTCATCCACCCGTTCCCTGCCACCATCTCGTGCTGCCGAAAACAGGGCTGGGCAGTGTCACTTCCGGACTAACTCCGCTTGGAGACAGATGAAGGCTTTAATTCGAAGTTCTCCTCCCTTTTTCTCTCCCCTCTCAGATCAGAGTACATTTCTTCAGCTGGCATGGGTCCCCACCTGATAACGGCTTTTCATTTGTACGGCTTCAGGTTTAAGTCCCCTTCTGTAAGTTCAGCAGATGGCAGCCGCTCCCCTTCCTTCTTCCCCTGTAGAATCAGTTTAAGCTGCTCCTCCCGGCTTAGAAGTGGCCACGGCCTCATAACCGAAAGAAGGCAGTTCCTGAAGCCGCATCCCCTTTTATTTCCCTGTGCCCACGTCTTCCAGACCCAGGACCAGCTTCTTTCTCCCAGTCAGGGTTGCAAATATGTCCAAAAAGTAAGTCTGCTTTCTCTTTTAGCCCCTGCAGAGGCATGGAGCTGGGTCTTGTGTGACACCTGCCCGCCCTCAAGGGGTAAATCTGACCACTCCCCAAAATTCACATTTAGCCGGCATTACGTGCTAGCGTCACTTCTTTTCCAGATATAACGAGAAGCTTTCCTTGCACCCTAAATGTATCATTTTGAATGCAGATAGGAGAGAGCAATCCTAGCTCTCGTATTTAAAATTCAGACTTCGCTTATCCACACAAGATACGCAAGTGTGGGATTGTGACCTGTATCTGTTGCCAGTCACCAGGGGATGCTGGTACAGCAAAAAGGCAGGCAGATCCTGAACCATATGCAGCAGGTAGCCAAAAAAACCGATTTAATGCTAGTAATTTATACTGTGTGCAAGCTGTCTTGATAATGTCCATCTTGTCTCGTATGCTGCTCCCTTTTTAAACTTGAGTTTGAAGGGAGCTTTTTCTTCTGACAAGTATTTTGTGTTTTGTAACCATGCAAAGCTTTGTGGTTTTTTCCCTTTTCTTTCCTTGTGTTGGCTGTAAACAGAACGAAAGAGCCACCCGTACTTTGTCATGTAATCTGGGAAGAAAGAGGTTCATACTTCATGGGGGGGTTTCATGTTAACTTTTTATTATTCAAAAAGAGGTGGGATTTGAAGAAACACGGCTGCATGCTTTAAAATGTCAACTGGAAAAGTGACAGATTAAAGTACAATAACTTTGCACACGGCAACAATAAAAACTTTGCATGGATGGAAAACAGAACCTTACAGTACTACCAGTTAACAGTAGCCTCTCTAGCTTAAGTTCTTGCTGCTTATCTAAGCAACTTGCATGTTTTTAGATGTATTTTCCCTTGCTGTTTTCCTCCCTCCCCGCTCCTACCCCCAGTGTTTCGGGACTAATCCTGCCGCATCCCCATTGACCCTTCTTAATTGTGATTCTGTTTCTGAACACTGGCTGTGATTCTGTCTATAAAAACACAGTTGTACGCTTGAACCCAGCTGCCTGTGTATCTATGTGTATGTGTCTGATTTAGACTTTTCCTTTGTGGCGATGAATCGGGGCCAACATTTGAACCCATTGTTCAGCATCTCGTTCCTCATTTAAGCCGTGCTGCTTACAGGGCAGAGGGCGGCCTGCACTGAACACCAAGTAAAGCAGACAGTAGAACCCAGAGAGAAGAAAAGCAGTATTATGCTGTCTGTATAAATTATGCAAATTCATCTTTCCCATCGCTGTAGTTTGCATAACTCTGCTTCTTTGTGCCGGGTAGCATATCTTCCTTTGAACTGGAATATCCTTCAGGCTGGCTCTGGAAATGTCTCTGGGTTTGTGAATATGCATTCTAGCCTGTCTTCTCAGAGCTAGTTTAAAGAATAGAAATTTGTTTTTCCTAACCTACGAAACTTGTTCTTGGGAAATCTTGAGTTCTGTGCGCACCTTTTCTCAGTGCGGTGGTTCTTTGTGTATGGAATTTGTGCAGGATACAAACACCCCCCCTGCTTGGTTGGGGGATTTCCCGCCATTCACGTTTTGGTTTACCTGGAAAGGCCACGAAGAGGTGAATTTTCCTTTGGCAGCGTTGCCCTAACCTTGTGCTCTCCAGAGGACTACAGTTCCCATCAGCATTTGGACAACAGGTCCTCTTGCCAGAGATCATGAGCGATGCCCGTTTCCGCATCCAGAAAGGACTTCAGGGAACCAAAGCTTTGTGTGCCTCTGTGTTCAAAGCAGAGGCAAGTCCTACGGTCCCTCCAGTGAGGAATAAGAACTCTTTTAGCTATTGACTGTGTTCAAAGCAGAGGCAAGTCCTACTTGCTAGTGAGGAATAAGAACTCTTTTAGCTATTGCAGTATCGTCGAGCAGCCCAAACTGGCTAGGTATGTTTGTCAGCATTGCATCCAAATTGTAGGACATCAGCTGGCGGAAAACCAGCAGGTGTACGACCTGTGTGTCTTCAAATATGTTGCTTGGATTATGGGACAACGGTATACCCCTCATTGATTCAGAAAGAAGAAATCATTACAAAATCTAAAGCTAACAATAGGCTTCGGATAAACTGAAAACAAACTTTTAACGGTCAGAAGCAAGGGCCATCTTTTTAAATCGGAAAGTGTGGGAGTCGGCCATACGGCAGATGGGAGTAAGCAGTACCATATTACACCCACAATCTTTGTTTAAACTGAATAAGTGCAAGTACACTCGGATAAAGAGAAGAACCTGTTTCCATACTGAGAACACATTTCTGGTGAGCGGTTTTCCTTGTTTAAGGTGAAGCAAGAAAGAAGATAGAGCTTGGAAATGTAAAAGCTAGCATGAAATTTCCCACGAAGGTTTCAACTTGAAACATGTTATCAAATAACAAGAAAAAATCCTAAAATGTATGTTTCAAATTACTACTTTCCTTCATGATCCCCTGCAAAAAGTGATGTTACAAATAAAGCACCAGTTGTTACCTAACACTTTCCAAGCACTTGGGGTTTAGATCAAGGAGCGAAGAGCAAGCTGTGATGAGTGTAGCAGAAGTATTCAGTTAAGCAACATATAACTGGCATGAAACGACTTGCTTATAAAATGTCAGTCAACATTTTGCAAGTGGCCCACCGCTTCCTTTAGCCAATTCAGATAATTGTTGTATAGAAGAAGTCTCACCGGTTAGCCCGTTTCCTGCTGCCTGATGAGCATGTAAAGCAATTAGGAGGGGGACTAACGCTTACATTCAGGACTGAGATGAGTGTACGTTTCTTGCAGTCTGCCTGTCACACCTTCAAGATGCTACCAAAACAGCTAATTAGGAACTTGCATTAAAATATCCCCATTGCCATTAACAGTCTTGTCTGCTTGTCTATTACTAATTATTGTAGTTCCTAGTTAAGATCCCGCCCCCTCCAATTTATTTGAAGAGAAAGGAAAAAGGCATAAGTAGGCTGGCAGATTGGGAACTAGACATTCCCTAGTCAGTTGCTGCCCTTCATTAGATGGTAAATTTTAATCTACAGTAAGTTGTATGAGCCAATTAAGCATTTGAAGTCTGCACTCCCACTGTTAATCCAAACTTATTAGGGTACTAAATGTTTACTCTTCTTTAGTTTCTTAAACTCTCTCCAGGGAAGATGGACAAAGCTTTGGTTTCCTCTGGCTTTTCTCCCCTGGAGTCATCATGCCACACGGTGAGAAGTGTGGCATTAGCTGTTGACGATGAAGGCTTGACGCTACGGTTCCTTTGTACAGGTTTTCTTGACCTTTTAATTTCTGTACAAACGTTTTCTGGGTTACTGCTGTGCTTTAACCTAGTTTCTCCCTTGCCTGGCTGGCTTCTTTGTGGGAAAGCTATTTTGGCATCTTGAAGTTTATAATACCCCTTTATCAAATTAGATTAGGAAAAAGCCACCTCTTTTTGAACATGAAAGTGGCTAGCCAGTGTGTAAGATTCAACAGCAATTTATCAGTAGCAAAACAACGATCCTGCACTGGTAATAAAACATTCTGCATGTAATATCTTTATACTCCTCTAAGTCTTCAAGCCCACTCCAAGGACTGAGCAAGTGACTTCCAGGTGTTGAACAGCAGCCCTCATCAGCATTGGGCAGCATAGGTAGCAAGGTGGGATTTGGACAAGCTGGGACAGTATTATTTAGAGGTTGTTCTGCAGTCAGTATATAATTGGCCAGGGCATATTAGTAATGTGTACCCTGACATCTGAGCGTTCAGTCTGGAGGCAGGCAGTGCATCATGGCCTCGCCCCAATTTGAAGAGACCCTTGTCCAGCAGGGCAAGGCAAAGAGGCAGTCCTGAAAGCAGCAAAATCAGGGAGCTGGACAGGGGACAGATTGTATTTGTCTTCAATGTGGAAGGGATTGTCACTCTCAAATTGGCCGCCTCAGCCATACTAGACACTGTTCCAAGTCATACAGAGCACGTTACCATAGTCTTTCGAGACTGAAGGAATGTCTATGACTGCAAACAAGAGAAAGAACTCTTTTGGGTGTTCAATAGAATGAATGCAGGCTAATGCACGTATTTACAATTCTGATTTCCAACAAGCCCCGACTTCAGAGTTAGTCAAGCCGATGCAGTGACTTCTTTTGGAAAAGATCCCCTTAAATTGCGTTTTGGATTTTCACTAAAATAGAAACAGCATTGTGTCACTGGGGAGATACTGTTCTCAGAAAATAAAGATGATTCAGTCAGTAAGAGTCGTCAAGGCACTGCTGAGTAAAAAGTTGTACTTGACAGAAATAATAAAAGAAAGGAATCAGCATTTAATGAAAGCAATAAATAGGCTTGTGGTAAGGCTACCAAATCCTGCCTTTTATTTAAAAATATTTTGTTTTTGTTTTTTAAATAGCTGAATCCTGCTTTTAGACGGAAGCCCTTTTGGGGATTCCGGTATTAATAAACTGCAGCCAGCTAAGCTGGAGTGGCTCCTGATGTTTTATGTATAAATTTGTGATGATTTGTTAGCTCCCGGGGATTTTAATTTAATTTAATTTAAATTTGGCCTGGCGACAGTTGCTTTTCATTGGGGTCAAGCCCTCCTCTAGTAGAAAGACCTTAAATCTATGGAGCGCTGTGTATTCCAAAACAAGGGAAGTTTTCTAGTCTGTTTGATGTAAAGGCCAGCCCTAGGAGTCCTTCCCATTAGAGGAAGCAGAAGGATTTTCTTTTGAAATCAAATTGGCAAAACAGCTGCTCCAGGTTTATCCTTTAGAACCCGGGAGGGTGTTAAACAACCATTGGAAATCTCTTGCCACCTTCCCTCCCGTGGTAGCTCTCTGCGGTGCTGGCCTATAGTAAGACAGAGGACTAAGCAGTGCTGGCAGTGAGTAGTCCCAGAACAAGCCCAAACGCTGGGATAGCGTGGCGGGTCCTGACATGACACCTCTGTTGCCTGGCCAGTTTTGAGCAGTGTCGACTTTGCGCGGTGGGCGAGGCTGCCAGAGTAGCAGAGTGGCGCCCAGGGCGGCTGTATTCCATCTGCTGAAATGTCTTGGTCCACGCCACGATGGGACGATGCAGGGCCTCCCGATGTTCTCCACTTCAGCCCTGGACTGTCGATGGCTGTGCGGTGGTTCTCCTTGGCCGTCTCAGCTCCTGGCAAAGGTGCTGTCCAGGAACTGGATGGGTGCGTCGGTGCTGGCAACCTGGCAAGGCCGGTGGGAAAACCAGGGGGCTGGGTCCTCCTCGCATCTCCTGCCTTCCTTTTCTCTTCTTCCACCAGTTGCCACTCGTTATACAAAGATAAAAGGGCAGGGCATCCATCGTTTCTTGCTGAGTAGATGATGCCACCAGGGTAGCCACAAGAAAAAAAATGCAGGGCTCCTCTACCTTTTTTAAGCCTGGGGGGGGGGAGGTGTTTCAGCTTGTGTCACTGGCAAGACAAGAGTTTCCTTTTTTTTCCTATTAGAGATGCTGCCATCCTGACCTCATTTTCCAGCCGTAGTAGCTGACATTTCTCTCTTTCACTCAACCCTGAAATGTACAGGAGCCCTGTTCTGGTTTTCACATGGCCACCCTCGCCCCACCATAGCTCCCAGCAGAGCCCAAGAACTGCTCCAGGAAGCAACCAGGACCTAATCTGGGAACCCCTGCAGCTCCTCCAACCCCCCAGGGCTCCTTTTTTTTCTCTCTCTCAGGGGGTTCCTCTTCCCGCCCGGTGTTTTGCACAAAAGCAGGGCGGCCATCTTGGAGCCGGGCGGCGCCCGGGCGCCGTACGCGACGTCGCGTCTCCCCCCTCCCTTGTGTCGTCATCCGAGGCGCGCCGCCCGGAGCCAGAGGCCGCCATTCAGCTCCGGAGCGGGGGCTGCCCCACGCGGTGCCTGCGTTGCCATGGAGCCTCCCCGGCCCTGCCCGCTGATGGAGGACAGCTTCACCCGCTTCTCCTCCCAGAGCAACGTCTACGGCCTGGCCGCCTTGCCCGGGGCCGCCCGGGGCGGGGGCGGGCGAGGAGAGCCGGTTCCTTGGGGGTCCGGGCAGCAGGGGCCCGAGGAGCTCGGCCTGAGGCCCGAAGAAGCGTCGGGCTCCGAGGGTCCGCGGCAGGCCTCGAAGCAAGGCCAGCC